ACTACAGATTTGAGGAGGTTACGACTGTTTATCCTCGATCGAACGCTAGACTATTTTATTGAAGATGCTCGTGATGCGCGAATGTTATGTAGACAAAGAATGCTAGCTATAAGACATTGACATCAATAGACATTTAAGAAAACAACACTATAGTGGCTAAGTCTGAAATACGTTGAGAGAAAAGATTATAATTTCTAATTGTGAATGTAAGAGAGGAAAACAAAGGTGAAAAGCCATGAGCATAAAAAATCTCAAATTAACACGACTTGTTACCACTTGACGGCTCAAATTGATAAGTTAATGAGCTCCAAACCTTTGATATATGCATTCCAAGGTTTCTGTTTACGCACGAGCATTTCATACAAATGAAAGCTCTAATGCTCACAAATCTGTTCACCAACAATCGACACACGAAGTACAACAATTTTAGAGCAAAACCAGAAAATCAAAACTCCGCAAACTTTGGTGGTTAGTAACAGGACAAAGTACTACAACAACTATAGAGGGACTTCCAGTAAAGCTAAATATAAATAAATACTAATAAATGGCCTACCTATAAATATTGAATTAAAAATCAGTATCAAAGAAAAAAACAATGGCACTCCTTCGACTTACACCCATTTGGATCCTGGTTGAATTTCCTAGCTTAAGCCATAAGCGATGGCTCAATTATGCCACCTTTGACCTGAAAACCAGATGCAAAGTCGACTCTGCAAAAATCCATTCCAACATTCACTAAAAATTAACTAAACCGCAAACACAATTCCTCAAGAAACCAAACCATTAAATAAAAAATAACACAAATAACCTTTCTGGATGTTCTAATTCACAAGAGTTCGACCATCTTCGAGTTGCTTTCTGTCGAAGATCAAACGTTGTTGATTGCGAGATCCCTGGAACAGTTTAAAAACAAATGGAGCAAAAACATGAAAGGAAAAAAAGAAGAAGAACTACTCCATATTGAGGAAGAAAAAAAGACTACATAGTCCATTAAAATAGCCAACTAACATCCAAACTTCATAAAAGCTTAGTTTCCTTCACTTTTTTTTTTTCCAGTTTCCTTCACTTTTGGTTAATTCAAAAATTCAAAAAAATTTGACAGCTGATTGCTTTATACTATTTTAGGTAGGAAAGAATCCAATTCACCCAAAAGTTCAATCAAAGATGACTCTATGCACTCTTGAATAGCAACAATCTAATTATATTAGCTAAATTAAATAAATAACAATCCAGAATTTCACAGTGTTGTAAAATAAGTAGACAAACAAGAAATATGTATGTATTTTTTTTCTTTAAAAAAAATACAACCATCCCATAAAAGTTAATTTACCTCAAAAAACAAGAGCCTCAAAGCAAATACCTTTATCACAAACACAAACTCTCAACCACATAATCAATCAATGAATACGTAAATAGCCTGATATAAAGAGAGTATGAGACCAAGGAACATGAAAGAAGAAACAACCAACAAGTTTTTTTTTTAAAAAAAAAAACCAAGAAAATTAATCAGAAAACAACAATCACTACAATGAAAGTCCAAACTCATACCTTGTTATCAATCCTGAAACAACCCAAAAGAAAATGAATGGGCCCTAAATCTTTTTCCTCCTTATATTCCTTCACCTTTCTTCCTTTGTGACTCGTATTTCTTTACCCTTTTAATCCGTCAGTTGAATTTCCTAAAAAAAAAATAGTATTGGAACATAAAAAATAGCACACCCGAAATCAAAAAGAGATTTAAAACCCTAAAACGTACAAATAGATTGAGGTAGAGATGGGAAAATTATAACATAAATGGTAAAAGTGCAAGGATCTTACCATCAGGAAGGAGAAGCAAGCACAGATCTAGCCCTCATTTTAAGGCGTCGACTTTCTCGACCTCATCTTCACCTGCTGGCGCAATCCTCGAGCTTTTGAATATTCTTGCACACGTCGCTCCTCGAGACTGCCTGCGAAAACTATGTATCAGTAGTTGAAAACAAC